GGCCAGCAGCTGCAGTGAGCAGCTATCCAGAAGCCGGTGACTGATCTGCCTCGCCCGGGAAGAGTGCAATGATGGTGCCAACTTGGGCCAGTGAAGCAACGTCCTCCACAACTAGACTGAAGACCAAAAGGAGAGCAACTTGTCTGTTCCCCTTCCCCCAGTTCCCCAGCACTGTTCCCATCCCCCAATTCCCCAATAAAAATCTTAAAAAAAGAAAAAAAGAAAGCTGGAGTGGCTATGTTAATATCAGACAAAGTAAACTTCAGACCAAGGGCTAGTACCAAGGATGAAGGACACCACCCCAAGGGTCAATTCACCAAGTAGACATAACAATCCTAAGTATGTATTCCCAAAACAACAGACCTTCAAACTACATGAAGATAACCTGAACTGGAAAGAGAAATAGAGAATTCCACAATTATATATGGAGATTTCAACACTCCTAGGAATCAGTAGAACAAACAGACCGAAAAAAGACCTGAACAATACAATTAAACTCTTAACCTCATTGACAGTTCAAGATCATGCCATCAAAAACCAACAGAATGCACGTTATTTTCATGAGCTTCATTTTTTTTATACATATGTATTATTTTATTTATATATATATATATATATATATATTAAATTAGTTTCAGGTGTACAACACAGTGCAATAGTTATACTTTTTACCCCTCAAAGTGACAACCCACCTACCCCAATCTGCCAACCCACTTCCCCCTCCCCATATTGTACATATCTATTACAATTCCATTGACTCCACTTCCACAGTACACATCCCGTGAATATATATATATATATATATATATATATATATATATTCAATTATAGTTGACATACAATATTATACAACATCAGCTTCAGCTGTACAGTGCAGTGATCAAGCCTCTACACTGTCCATGAAGTGGTCTCCCTAACAAGACATGTGACCATCTGAAACCCTACGAATATTTACATTATTAAATTTTATTCCCCGAACTGTCATTTTCCTATGGCAATATTGTAGTTACCATTTTATGCTGTCTAATCCCTTCCCCTTCTCCCTCATCCCCACCCCTCTCCCAACTAGCAACCATCGGTTTTTCCTGTGAGCTTCAGTTTTGATAATTTCTGTTGATCTGTCTTTAAGAGATCACTGGTGTTTCTACTCCTTGTTTCTGATCTGTCTCACTCACTTGCAAGTGTCTATGCTTTAGGGGTTATGTCAAGTTCTCCTGTGCTTATCGCCAAGTTTAGGGATTTGTGGTTGGTGTCATTTTCCAACAGGCAGCAGGGAATAGGGACCTTCAGCTCCATGAGAGTGTATTTAGATTTTTCAAAAATGGATGTGGGAAAAATAAACAATATAAATATTCAGTGTCCTTTATCTCAATCAGTTTTGGTGATGCTGAAGCCACCAGCTATTTCAGAATATTTGAAGGTTGATATACACCTATTGCTAATTACTACCTAAAATACATATACTTAGAAACAAAACTGGGCTACTGTGTGGCATATTTATTTAATGATGACAACCAGGAGAATGATATTAATAATAGCTAACCTTTATTGGGTGCTCATTACGCACCACATAGACTTTCCAATGCTTTGATGCATTAACTCATGTATTCCTCATAATAACCCCACTTTCATCTCCGTTTTACAGATGAAAAAACAGAGGCATCAAGAAGTTAATTAACTTGTAAAAGTTTACTCTGCCATTAAGTGGTAGAATCGGGATTGAAGCTTGGCAGCTTAATTCTGTAGCCTGGGCTCTTGGCCAAAACACTTTGCTTTCATTAGACTGGCAACGTGGGTTTTAGGAGTTAATGAGACTGCAACAAAACCTGTTAAGAGGTATCCTGGGGAAGGGGACATATAAGCTGAGTGGCTTTAATGTTTGTTTTGTAAGCCAAGTGTCAAGAGCTAAGAGGGTCTGGGATGCAGGTAAAGCAGACTACTGCCCGTGGTTTGTTTTTGTAAATCCCATCTTCCTTCCCAGCCAAGAATGGTTTTTACATTTAAAGGGTTGTAAAAAGAAAAATAAAAAAGAATGATATTCGGGGCTGGCCGAGTGGCTCAATTGGTTAAGAGTCAGCTTGGGAGCATGAGCTCTGAGCATCAGGGCCGCCGGTTCAGTTCCCACATGGGCCAGTGACACTGTGCCCTCTACAGCTGAGATGGCGAACAACAGCTTGACCTGGAGCTGGGCTGCCGGCGACGGAGTAGGCTGCAGCCCCTGCTGTCGTGAGCTGCTCTGAGCGGCTGTCCAATGGCTGGCGACCGACTACCTTTGCCTGGAAGAGCGCAATGATCATAATACCAACTTGGGCCAGTGAAGCGGCGTCCTCCACAACTAGACTAAAGAACAAAAGGACAGCAACTTGTCTGTTCCCCTTCCCTAATGCCCCAATGCTGTTCCCCTCCCCCAATTCCCCAATAAAATCTTTAAAAAAAAAAAAGAGCAATATTCAATGGAGACAGTATGTGGCACACAAAGCTTAAAATATTATATTTACTATCTGTCCCTTTGAGAAAAGGTTTGCCAACCCCTAGGTGAAAAGAGAAGGAGGACAGAGAACCAGCACGTGCAAAGGCCTGGAGGCTTCTTTGTGAGATCAAGTGATTTACACAGCTGGCGATTACAGGGAAGAGAGGGTTTGGGGTGGGGGTGGGGGTGGGGGGGAGAATGAGCAAACAGACAAGGAAGATTCCTCTATATGTGGCTTCCCAAGAATCTAGATTTTATCCTAAAGGCATTGGGCAGCCATGCACATGTTTTGACCAAGAGAGGAACATAATCAAACTTCAACTCTATCAAACATATGAAGAAACAAGAACATTCTATAGGATGACCACTGTATTAAATGCCTATTTAATATGAATTTGCCTTATATTCTGAATTCTCAAAATCCCTTGGATGACTAGTGACCCCTATTGCTTGATAAAGCTGATCAGGCGGGTTTAAACCAGAAACCTGTCTTCATGCTGAGTCTGTGAAGAGATCCACAGCTCACAGGGACACCTTGTAGCGGGGAGCAGTGGGGAACCAGAAGGCCTGAGCCCCAGGCCCGGCTCTGCTCCTGGCTTGTGTGGTCTCCAGTCATTTCCTTTACTCATTGAGAGGCTGAATGGCCAAGTGGTTAATCGGCATGGGCTCAGCTTTGCAAACTGCCTCTATTCATCTTACAGTCTGTGATTTGCTATGTTCTCTGCACACTGTAGTCATCTGGGAGAGAGAGTTTCCCTAAAACCCTTCCTCCACAGACCCTGATTTATAGATCCAAGACTGGGGCCTGGGTGTTGGTATTATTTTAATTTATTGGGGTCACATTTGTTAATAACATAAATTTCAGGTGTACAACTTTATAAGGCAACATATGTATACTCCATTATGTGCTCACCACCCAAAGTCTAGTCTTCCATCACCGTATATTTCACCCCCTTTACCCTCTTCATCCTCCCTGCACCCACTTCACCTGTTGTCTGTGTCTGTGAGTTTGTTTTGTTTGTCCATTTGTTGCTTTCTGTTTTCCACATATGAGTGAAATCACATGGTTCCTGACCTTGTCCATCTGTCTTATTTCACTTAGTACAATACTGTTAAGATCCACCCATGTTACCACAAATAACAATATTTCATCTTTTTCATGGAAGAGTAGTATTCCATTGTATACATGTACCACATCTTTATCTAATCACGGCATTATGTATTTTTAAAAACCCCAATGATACCAGTGAGTGAGCAGATGGAAAGCCACTGTCCTACCTTGTTTCCCCAAAAATAAGACTGTGTCTTATATTAATTTTTGCTCCAACAATCTACATTTACTCATGTACAAAAATCTACATTTATTCAAACAATCATGTCTGGCTGATGATCTTAACTGGAGCTTATGTTTGGGGTAGGGCTTATATTACGAGCTTCCTGAAAAATCATACTAGGGCTTATTTTCTGGTTAGGTCTTATTTTCAGGGAAACACGGTAGTAATGAAGAACCCAGACTCTGGGCGAATAACCCTGGCTGCTCTGGACTAAATGGATAATCATGAGCAAAACACTTACAATCTCGATGTTTCAGTATTCTCAACTATAGGACCTCTTCTTGGGTGATTGTGAGGATTAAATGAGGCAGTTCCTCTAAAGCATGGGATGTGGCACTTGACTTCTCACCACTTTCTGTTCCCCATTTGCCCCAGGTTCCCTCTGACCCTCATTCTGAGTGGCCAGTGCAGCTCTGTCAACCCCCAGGGCTAAGAGCAGGCCTCATTTTCTCCACTGAGCCCATCCAGCTGCCTCCCTTATTTGAGGGACCCTTCCATGTTCTCCAAAGGACCCTGCTTACCCTCTGTTCGGGCGTCGATCAGAGTGTGGTATAATTGCTGATTTTCTAGTTGGTCTCCCACACTAGGCACTGAGCAGATAGAGACCTGGAAAGTATATTCCTTTTAGAAGGTGATCCATTAATGTTGGGTAAGTGGGAGAAAACTCTTTCACTGCTAATTATATGGCCTAGTTAATACTTGTTCTTGGTGGTGCATACATTCTGTGGACTCCACAGCAGTGGCCTGTGTGCAGGGTCTTGGGAGGGGGTGGGTACACTTCTGGAGAAGAGAGAACCTCTCTACGTGGTGCTAAACGGCTCTGCCTTATTCAGAGACCAGGCTTAGCTCTTTCTTGAGTTCTTTCTCTTCCACAGATGACCTTGAAGTTGCTTGGGAACAGCAAATGTTGAGAACAGTGAATAACCTTGAGGAAGAACCCAAGAAATTGAACGCCTGGCCTCCAATCCTGCCAAGGGTCGCGCACTGAGCCAGCACTTCACACAGATGAGAAATACAGAGGGTGCCAAAAAAATGTATACACATTTTAAGAAAGGAAAACTATTAAAGTTGTAATAATATATACCAATAACAAAAAATGAATACAAGTCACTTTTGACTTCTGCAATTACAAGAGGTGCTCAAAGTGGTTACCATCAGCACCCAGACACTTCTGATTACGGCAAACTACTGCTTGAGCAGCGTTGACCAAAGTCTCCACTTGTATGCATTTTTTTGGCACCCCTGGTATAGTAGCATCACGGGCTTCTTTAATCTTTCATTATGTCCTTGTGGGAAGAGGGATGTACCATTTGAGCCTCCTCTGGCTTCAGGAAGAACATTCAACAGCGATTAAACCTTTCAGAAGGGTAGTCTTAATGTCTAAGTATATGTTATTACCCAGGCCACAAATTATAAGTAAGTAGCCATAATCCTGGCCACCTAGATGTCTTACAAGATGCATTTGCAAGATACATGATACTAGAAGACGTTGGTGCAGTGGCAGCGGTTTTCCACTACTCATATAATCCTAACAACAATCTTATAATGTTGGTGCTGTTATCCGAATAGTGAATCGCAGGAATGAAGCCTGTAAGGGATAATTAACGTCACCATGGTTAGACATATATAGCAGTGCCAATATATAGCAAATGTACAGCAAATATATAGCAAAGTCCGGTTTTGAAACGAAGTGTCGCCCGAGTCCATTTTTAACCAGTACATTCACTGCCTCTCCTTTCCCAAGATGCAAATGAGCGCATTAGGAGCCATGAGGTGTGTGAGGACTGCTGGGTACAGCTGTGGAGGCTGACCCATGCATGTGGGCATCCTTCCAGCATAGCCTAGTGGTAGCTGGAATCCAACCCACACTCCACCTGCTAAGCTGTGTGTGTGGCCGCATCTGCCTGGGGGAAGGAACACCTTTTTCCAATTTGCACAGAGATATATTCCCTTTCTCTCATGGCTTCTTTCTTATTACCTTGTTCTGCCTTCTCAGGTCCCTGCCTTTCCCTAGGAAAAGAGAAGAAAATGACCAAGTTCCAGGTGAGTTGGATTTCAATTTCTGTCATTTTACATGAAATTTCACTTCTCAGTAAGTAGACACTTTTTTTCTCTTCTTTGGCAAGTATAAAGAATGACAGCAGGGCCGGCCGAGTGGCGCGATGGTTGAGAACTGGCTTGGGACGCCAGAGGGCCCCGGTTCGGATCCCACATATGAGGGCCAGTGACACTGCCCTCCACAGCTAAGATGCTGAACAACAGCTCAACCTGGAGCTGGGTGGCCGTGAGTCACTGGCGACGGCGTAGGCTGCAGCCCCTGCTGCAGTGGGTTGCCATGGGCTACCGTGTGTAGCCAGCAGCCAGCGTGAGCAGCCAGCAGCTGCAGTGAGCGGCCGTCCAGAAGCCGGCGACTGATCTGCCTCGCCCGGGAAAAGCACAATGATGGTGCCAACTTGGGCCAGTGAAGTAACGTCCTCCACAACTAGACTGAAGACCAAAACGACAGCAACTTGTCTGTTCCCCTTCCCTAATTCCCCAGCGCTGTTCCCATCCCCCCAATTCCCCAATAAAATAAAAAAAATTTTTTTTTAAATGACAGCAGATATTTAATACCATTTATATGACGTTTTTTGTTTAATTTTAAAGTTGTTTTATTTTTTAAATCACATTTCACAAATAATAATGTAAAAGAGAATAGCAATTTAAAAAATGAAAAAACCCACGTTTTTACCCTGCTTAGAAATCACCTATTTTTTCCCATAGTCCTTTTTTATGTGCGTTTATAACCATACTTGCAATAATAGATATAATTTTCAATTGGTTTTTATTTTCACTTAAAATTATAGCTCTTAATTTTTGTCATTTAATATTATTTCAATGAACGTAGTACCCGCCCCCACTTTTTAACTATTCCCAATTTACAAATTTTTAATTCTCAAGGATTCTTACAGTTTTATACAACAGTATCTGTTTTCTTACATATAATCTTTACTAAAAAAGCAATTCTGAGAGAATTCTAATATAATTTGTCCTTAATGTTCCAAGGACTCAAAACTAAAAAAGTTTTGTTTTTCATAAGTGGTGCCTCTGGTACTTGTCAAAAGAATACCTAGAAGATGGTTTTGTCTAACACAAGCAGACTGAAGCTGAACTCGGAAAAAAAAGATGTTTGCATACATAAGGAGCTAGATTCTTTGTTTCCAGGACCTGAAACTTTCTGTGTGTGTGTGTCTGTGTATGTTCGTGTGCCTTTGTGTGTTTCACCATTCGTGTATTAATTTATTTTATTAGAGTAATTCAGGTACTTGGTTTAAAATTTTTAATGAGACTATAGGATGTGCATGCACTTTCCATCTATCACTTTATTCACTGCTCTGAGGGGGACTTAGAATCTTCTGCACTGTTAACGTGAAGATCAGAAGGTTCGTATAAGTTCAAGTTCTGTTCACGTTCCTACAGAAGACAAGTGTTCGACCAACTCCAGAGCCTTTGCCTTCTGGGTCAAGAGTATCAGGCCTACCGACTGGGTGAAAAGAGTAGCGGAAAATCCCCAAAACCAAACCAGAGTTCTCATTAAAAGACCAAGACTTGAGGTTGTGATGTTTGGAACTCCAGCCAGAACAAATACTGTGTTGCACAGGTCTTTATGTAAAAAATTCAAATTCCCTTACAGCAAAAAGTTAGAAGACAAATAGCAAAGTAGAATGAAAAAATATAACATACATGGAAGAAAAGAACTTACTGTCCCCAAAATGAATATTACTACAAAACAAGAGCTAGAGATGACCAGCAAATATATAAAAGGAGAATGATCTTCATTGCTAATCAACTTTGTGAAAAAATTTCAAAATAACTGGTTTTCACTTTCCAAATTTACTTCTGGTATTATCAAAGATTTCTTTTTTTTTAAGTATTTATGTCCAGTGTTGACCAGGGTATAGAGGTTTAGGGATTTACACTTTCTTGGATGAAGAATAAGTTGGAAACATATTTTTGGAGGAAACACCTACCATTATGATTCCAAGACTTTAAAGGTTATTATTCTTCAACATTACTATTTCTACTTTTTGGAATTTATTTTAAGTAGTTAATCAACAGAGTTCCAGGCACTAAGGTCTCTGTGTTTTTTTGCAGCGTTTGTTTATAATAGATCATTTAAAACTTAAGTAAGCAGCATTATTTGGATCAGTTTCATTATCTTCTAGATCATCAATTCCTTGAATTACTGTGCAGCCCTGAAATGGGATGACTGATGATGGTAGTAATAATCCCAATAATAGCTAATATTTATTGGGTATTTACTATGTGCCAAGCACAGTTCCTAAGTACTTTACCTATAGTCACTCATTTTATTACCAGCACCCTAAGGTATAGGTGTCAGTATGCAAATCAGGAGCAGATGAACTTGTCCAAGGTCACGTAGCATTCCAATGTGAACACAGGCAGTCAGGCTCCAGAACTGTGCCCGTACTCCAATCCCATTAATGCAGACACTCCAGATGGGCCACAGAGGACGAGTTCCATACTTGAACAGAAAGGGTGACTGACAGCCTGTGAGTCTGGCAAATTAAGTAAGTCATGTGTGTGTATAAATGAGGGCAAACAGACTGCCTCACACAGTGTCAAAACTAAACCTTTTCTGGAGCAAATGGCATTATTAATAAAATTTAAAATATTAGCAGCCAATGATGCAACAGAGTTCCAGGGACTTACCTATAAGTGTGCTGACAAAAGGTAGCAATGTAAAGTGCAAGGATTCCTTTCAGCACTTTGGTTGGATGGAATTAGCAGTGTGGGAGGCAAACAGAAGGCAGCTACTTAAGTGTGACTCAGGCTCCTCGGAAGCCAGAACAGCTTCCCATCGTTTACACTTTCTCAGTGCCTCTCCTGTTCCATAAACGTAGTCTGTGTGTGTGTGGTGTTGTAGGAGGCGGTGATGTTCAAGGACGTGGCCGTGGTCTTCACGGAGGAGGAGCTGGGGCTGCTGGACTCCGCCCAGAGGAAGCTGTATCGAGACGTGATGCTGGAGAACTTCAGGAACCTGGTCTCAGTGGGTGAGGACAGGCGCCCTTTCAGCTCAGTGTCAGCTTCTGGGGTGTCTTTGTGGGCTCAGTTTTCTGAAGCTCTAGGACTCCTGAAATCATTCTCTGAGCTTTGGCACCTGGGAGTCCTAATAATCCCAGGGCAACACAGACATAATGTTTCTGATGTTACTGTGCAGGCAAAAACCTGTCCTTTGAACTATAAATGTCCTTGAACCATATATTGTGGTCCTGCCTCATTGGTTTGTCATAATCAGTTTAATGAGTTGCTCTAGCTTTTCTCAGGGTGCCTGTAACTGTTCATTAACTTGATTTTTTTCAGAGGTATTTTGTTTTTTTGCTTTAACAATGTATTTGTAAGTAACTTCATACTTAACATTTACAAAAGTGAAAATGGAGACCAGTCACACCCATATAGCTTCCACCTAGATTTACCTGTGGTATCATTTTACCCCTTTGCTTTATCATTTATGCTCGTGTTTTTTTTTCTGTCCATATAACTTATGTGTGTGTAAGTGAAAACATATGTATATTCATAATATTTCTTTCTGAACTATTTGTGGGTAACTTACATACACTATGTCCCTTTACCTCCAAATGCTTCAGTGTATATGCAGTTTAGAAGTCCTCAAGACTATACTCTCTCTGACACCAGCTGAGAGCTCAGGGTCCCCAGGACTACCTTCAACCTTGATGATTAGCTAGAAGGACTCTCAGAACTCACTGAAAGCAGTTATACTCATGGTTACAGTTTATTACATGGCAAGGAAACAGGTTAAAATCTGCCAAAGGCAGAGGCGCCTGGGGTGGAGTCCAGGAGTTTCCAGCATGAACTTCCAGTTGTCTTCTTCCCTGGAGTCGCGGACAGCACCAACTCTTCCCAGTAACGATGAGTGACAGTACACACGGAGTGCCACAACCTGAGCCTTGGTGTCCAGAGCTTTTATTGGGGCTCCGTCGTATCCATGTGGTTGGACACCTGTGTGACTGACCTTGGTTTCCAGCCGCTCTGGAAATCAAGCTGATAGCACGTGGCCAAAGTCCCCATCACACATCACATTGTTCAACTATCTGGTGTGGCCCAAGGCCTCCAGGTAAAAAAGACACGCTCATCAAGCAGGACATTCCAAGGACTTAGTGATCCCCTGCCGAGAGCTGAGGGCAGGGACCAGACCTCTTTGGGCAAGGCTAATTCTTTACTGAATAATGTGTTTTGTAGAGATAGGAATATTCTCTTATGTATCCCCAGTGTAGATAGAATACTTTTATCCACTTTATCATTTATGCTCTAATTTTATCAACAGAGCCAATTATATTCCTTACAGCATATTTTTCTCCCTCCAGAGCAAGATCTAGTCTAAAATCTAGTCTAGCTGTCACGTCTCTTTGGCCTCGTCTAATTAGGAACATTTCCACAGTATTTCTTTATCTTTTATGACAGTGACATTTTTGATGAATAATGTTACCCCTCCCCCCCGTTTTTAGTAGAACGTTCCTAATATTCATAATTAAATCAGATGATCCTTCCTGACTGCACCGCTGCATTGGTAGTGGTGTGTCCTTTTGAGACAATCACATCTCGGTGTCCAATTTCTCCCCTATAGAATTGCTGCTTTTTTCTTCCTGCAATCATAGGGCACCGCTTTTTAAGGCCACACAGATATTTCGCATATAATGATGATTCTTGCCTTATCCAGTCTTCACCATGATAGTTACAAAATGATGATTTCCCGACTTAGTACTTCCTCCACATTTAGCAGTCAGTACTTGGCATTCCTCAGTAAGCAGGAGGCCCCCCCCCCCCCC